CTGAGAAGTTGGAGACCCCTGTATTACACAGTTACATTTTTAAACACATTTTTACATCCCTAACTTTGGCAGCCACCTGAACCCTGGCTGTCCCCTGAGCTGTCCCCGCCTCTGCTACCACCAGACAACTAAAATCTAGGGTCGCCAGATGTACGGTATTGAACTGGAAAGCCTGGTATTTGGGCTTTCAATCTGGTAAAAAAATTCAGAAAATATTGGACATGAGAAATGTCCTGTATTTTGTGTTTTTCCTGGCTCTGGCTGGGGTGGGGAGAGCATGGAGTGTCCCAGGCAGACTCAAAATGGCTGCCTTAAAAGGGGCAAACTTGGGTGGGTGTATGTGTGTGGTGTGTTTTTTGTCAACAACTTTTACCCTGGAGTACAAGGGTTTTTTTTTTTTTTTTAAGACTGGTCCCGGGAATTAAAGGGGCTGCGACTGTTTTTCAGCCCTTGTCAGTTCCCTTTTTTTTTCCTTTTTGTTCAACAGAATTTTTTCCTGGGGTGTGGGTGTTTTTGTTAAACCACCAGACAGCCCTACTAAAATCACACGGATGGGAATCGTTCGGGGGTGGAGAAAACAGTCTAGGAGAGATGTGACTTCTGTGGCTAATCCCTAAATCACAGTGGCCCCATTTCTCGTGCTCCAAGGTATTGTCTTTCATCGGGACCTGAGGCTGTTCGTGAAGCGGGGTGGTCGAAGAATGACACCCTCACATCGCATGTGTTCTCGGCCTTGATAACTCAGCAGCTGAGTTTAGAGTTTCCAGCGGTGCCATCAGGGTTGAGAGAAGCCGCTGTGGCTTGTTGCTAAGGCTGGGAACTGAAATATAAGGAGCGTTCCTCTTGCACGCTGGAAGAAGAGACTATGTCTGGTCTCTAGGCCCTTCAGTCAAACTCTTAGGAACAGAAATAGTCAAATGCAGTTGGTGTAAAGGTGATCTGCAGAGGATTGCTAAGCAGTTACATTTAAGCCAATCTTTGCTGCTTTGATGGAGAAAGAGACGATTATAAAGAAAAAAAAGAAGAAACTTTTGTTCCTATTTGTTTTTTATGCCCTGGAAATAACAGGAATATCCAATCTGGCTGTCCTTGGTTTTGATGGAGGAACTCAAAGGAGTCTCTGACCATATGTGGTGTGAGTTCTTGCACCATAACTGAAGGGAGGGGGAGAGATGACGAATTTTTAGCAAAGACTTCCTTGCTGCAAGATGCGAGTGGTGTCACTGGTGTTAAAAATGTGTTAAATTGGCAGGCAAACTTTTTAAAGGTGGAGGCTTAAAATCAGGGTCTTCAATTCCACAGCTAGGCACTTAAATAAATGTATTGGGCACCCAATAGCTCCCATTATTTAGATTGCCATAGCTTCTAGAAGACCCAGTCCTGCACCAGATATTAAGTACGTAGTGTCACAGTGCTAGGTGCTGTACAAACACAGAATAAAAAGACCGTTCCTCCGAAGACGGCTAAATAGAGGACCTCCTGAGCATGATGCGTGCCGCTCTCCACCAGCTCCTCTGACCAAGGTCACGCCCCTTCTCTTCTCCCCATTCTTACCCTTCAGAACTCGGTGACGCGGAGCGCCCCAGTGAACAGCGACAGCCAAGGTCGCTGTGGGGCCCGTTTCCTGACCACTTACGACAGGCGGTTTGTCATTAAGGCCGTGTCTAGCGAAGATGTAGCGGAGATGCACAACATACTCAAGAAGTACCATCAGGTACGGTGAGTCTGGAACCCTGAGGAGAGGGTGGCAAACAATGTCTTAGGGGCACCTGATGAGCGGAGGTTGGCCTTTGGAGCCCCGTGGAATAGCCAGAGCGCCGCCTGCTTGACAGCTGTCCTGCGGGGGAAGTCGTGTGGTCCGAGAGGATGTTGCCGGTGGCTACTACATGTTGTCTTCTGTTCCTTTTGGATTTTTAACTTCACCTCTCCTCCAGAGAACTGGCGTTCCTCCTGCTAGGGACGTTAACCATCTTTTATTTGTGTAAACGTGTCACCCCTGGAAATTCTAATGGTTGCACGTTTACACGTGAGGGGAGGCAGACATGAGCATCCGCTTCTCCTCCCCAATAGAGGCATTGGGGAGGGGAGCAGGCAGCTCTGGTAGGAGCCAATACGTGTGGGGAGCTAGTTTGAAAACCGGCTCCTGCCTGCCCCCCTCACCCGCTGCGCTGCTGCCTCTCATATCAGAGCCGCAGCAGCACAGGGAGTGGGGAGGAGGTGGCTCCACAGAAGCCAGTGCTTGTGGGGAGCTGACTGCCTCCAGCACCAGCTCCTGGAGGGTGGGGGGTTATAGTGAGGTGGTGGGGTGGGTTGTCCTGTGACCTAGGGGATAGGGTATTCGTTGGGGGGGGGGCAGGGGGCAGGCACCTCCACGGAAGCTGGCATGCATGAGCACCTGCTCCCTCCCCCTCGGTGGCAGCAAGCGGGGGGAGTTGCATGTAGTTGATACAATTAACCGATAAGCCCAGGCTTTCTGGTTAATCGTTCAACTGACTACACTGTAACACCCCTAATCCCTGCTCTGCATCACTGAAACACGGGCTTGCCCATGCGTGAAAGCTACAAATCGAGACCTCGTCCCACATTGGATTAGTCCCAGGTGGATAAGCTGGGGAAAATGCTGCTTTGCACAGGAAAAAAAAGATGTCAGCTGGCGTTGGTGGAAATGGCCCCTCCCTCATGCCACTGCACTTCCATTGAATTGCAAATCCTTTCGCTTCCCATGAGCAGAGGTGTGGATGCCCGTTAAAAAGTCCCTCGGTTGGCGCTGGAAGGTTAGCTTCTCATGGGCAGTGTGCGCTGCCAAAGACGTGTAGTGTGACTTTTATTCTTTCTCCCCCTCTTCCCGTCCCCCTTTCAGTTTATAGTGGAATGCCATGGGAACACCCTCCTCCCCCAGTTCCTCGGCATGTACAGACTCACCGTGGACGGGGTGGAAACCTACATGGTGGTCACCAGGAACGTATTTAGCCACAGGCTGACGGTGCATCGAAAGTACGACCTGAAGGTAAGGGCCTGAAAGCGACCAGTCCGTAGATCAGGGCTGCTCAACTTTGGAAGCCCCGGGGGCCACGGTGATACTTGCAGCACATGCAGACTTAAGTATGGTTGCATATCCATGCAAATATATGCAAATAGATTTTTACATTGTTGGGCATGAATACAAAGATTAAGGCAAGACTACACAACACTCAGGCCCCATTTAAGTCAGTTCTGCTGATATTAATAAAATGCAATACTTACCCAATTTCCACCCACGTGACAGCACTTTCAATGAGCAATGACAGTCGAGGGATTTCACTACTAAAACGCATCTCAACAGAAGACCATTATATTGACTGCTTTTTTGGTTTTGGCTTCCATCCGCAAGCCATGTGTTGAGCGCCACGTAAACCCAAACTGCACCGCGGACCGTGTGTTGAGTAGCCCTGCCGTGTAGATGGTTAGGGAAGGGAATGCTTGAAACGCATACCTCTCCTTGTATATGAGCCTGTTCCTGCATCTTCATGGCAGGATCTCGCATTACTTGCCATGCTAGATTGAGAAGACCCTAACTTTCCTGTTTGCTGAAGGACTTTGTCAAGCTTTGGTGGAACCATATAGGCTCATCTCTTGAGGCTGACACTGGAGTGGCATCTGTGTCAGCATTTAATTGAAGATGGACAAGGTGCTGAGTACGTCTCATGACTCAGATCCAGGACTTTCCTATTCTCCTAAAGCAGTGGTTCCAAAACTTTTCGGCATCATGCCCCCTTTTTGATTTTTGAGAACCAACCCCCCAATAGCAGCAACACTTGAGGCCCCCCCACCCCAAAAAAAAGGAACTGACCAGGGTCGAAAAACAAAAATAGCAGCGAAACTTAAGGGGGGAGATTGACCGGGGGAAGGGGGAGATCTGGATCACCTCATACCCCCCCCTTAGAATTTCTTCATGCCCCCCAGTTCGGGAACCCATGCTCTAAAGCTTGACAGTCCCTCCGCTCCAAGAGTGCAGCTGAGACGTGGTACTTCTAATAGTGAGGTTCCCTTCGCATTAGGTCAGAGTGGTAAAGGGCACACACAAGCTAGTCTTGCTTTGCAGTTCATTTTCAAAGAAACTGATCGCTGATTTCTGTAGGTGCAGAATTCTGAGGCTAGGAAGTTGTAGGCACAGTGTGGAAAAAGTGAATAAGGAAAACTTCATTTGTGTGTTCCCGTAACAAGAGAACTAGGGGGTCCCCAAATGAAATTAATAGGTAGCAGGTTTGAAACAATCAAGAGGAAGCTTTGTTTCCACTCAGTGCACAGTGAACCTGTGGAACTCCTTGCCAGAAGATGTGGTGAAGACTAAGACTTTAACAGTTCAAAAAAGAGCTAGATAAATTCATGGAGGTTAGGTCCATCCATGGCTATTAGCCAGGATGGGTGGGAGGGGTGTCCCTAGCCTCTGTTTGTCTGGAAATGGATGACGGGAGGGATCACGTAAGGATTACCTGCTGTGTTCACTGCCTCTGGGGCATCTGGTATTGGCCACTGTCGGCAGACAGGATACTGGGCTGGATGGACTGTTGGTCTGACCCAGTATGGCCGCTCTTATGTTCTGTCTCCTACAGCAAGTGGCCAAGACAGTAACTGGCAGAATGACATTGGTTCCTTTAAGGCAGGGGTGGGGGCTAGATGCATCCCTCAGCTTGCCTGGATCTGGCCCACGAGGCTTAGGATTCCTCCCTGGCATTGGGGATCCTGTGGGGCTGGAGCACATACAATCTACTAGCCTGGGCCCCATTAGGCTCTGGTGTGCGAGGGGACTTTGGGGAGAGTCTTTCTGCTTCTCAGTCGGGGACCCCGTCAGTTTGTTTTTGTCTGTTTTTGCTTCTCACTTGTGTGCGGCTCCCGATTGATTTTTCTCCGGCTCAGCGGCCCCCGACCCAAAAGAGGTTCCCCGCCCCTGCCCTAAAGCCCAACCACTGAACCAAAAAACTCGCTTTCCCGTTGTTCGCATGTAACTTAGGTTCATTGTGAGCCTTCGTCCTGCCTTGTGTGCACTAGAAGGGCAGAGAGATGCGTGGCTAAGATAAAATCCACTTCAGAGAGTAGCATGTGAGCTGCATTTCAGAAAGCAAAGGTCAGAATCTTTGTGCGGCTCTGTAGTTCCTGGAGGCACGAATGCAGAGAGAAACCATATGCTCTGTTGTCATGGACGTGAGAAAGTTGAGCCTGCAAAGCGTGAAAGCCTAGGATTGGCTCCAGGGGGAAGAGAAGGGGTCGCCATTGATTTCAGTCCCTCGTTGTTCGACACGTGGGTTCTCGTGAGCTAGGGGTTCATGTCCTGAATCCGACCAGTGGCCTTCTCGCCCAGATTCCTGTCTCAGATGATTCAGAGGAAGGTGCAGGGGGGTGTGTCTCCTCTTGAGTACGTATGTATTTTAAAATTGGGGCAACACTGCATTGTTCAGATGACTGGATATAGTACCAGAGAGCAGCAAACAAGCCAAAAAGGAACACGTTTTTCTCCCAGCAGAGCCTTGCATGAGTACAAAATTTGTATCCATAGCTGCAAAAATGAGTCCCGAATATTCACATCTGCGGATGCAGATTACCCGCATATATAAAGTGGATCTCCGCAAATTTGCAGGGCTCTACGTTCCAGCCCGGACCACCCAGATTGTCTGCTGCTTTTATTCTGCATTTTAAAAATATTTTTCTGGGGTTACTGCTTCATCTCTTGGAGGGGAAAAAAGAAAGAGAATGAGCATTTCATAAGCCCCAAGGGTTGGTCAATTTAAACGGCTGCTGTCTACTCCTGGTGAGTTGATGGAATATGTCCCACTTCTTTTGTTCTTTTCAGGGCTCAACGGTGGCCAGGGAAGCAAGTGACAAAGAAAAGGTAGGAAGGACGCTGTTCTATTTTGGGGACTGTCTTGTGGTTGCACAAAGTAAAGTAAGAACTAAAAAGCCAGGGGCTTGCCAGCCAGGCCCCTGGTTTGGCAGGCTATCGACGCTGCCAAAAGAGGCTGTAATGGTAACTTTATATAGGGGCCATTTTCAAAAGTGCCTAAGTCCCGAGAATCAGGCTCTTGTAGAAATAATGCTCTTTAATGCCCACAGTGAGCTAGGTATCTGGGCCCTAAAGCACCAGATTAGGGGTTAGGCACCTACCATTCGTACATCTTTAGGTGCCTAAATCCCTTTGTAAATCTGAGTCTGACTCTCTCAAAGAGCTTCCAACTTAAGGCTCCAGTCCTGCAAACCTCTTAACGTCGCTGCGGTGAATACAACTATTGATAACAATGGACGTACTCATGGTCGCAAAGTGAAAACTGCTTGTTCTGGGGGCTGGGATATAACAAATTAGCAAAGCCACTTAGTGGGGCTGAGCACGTCGTTAGGGCCACAGGGATTTTTGTTGGAATTGTTTGGAGGGGCTTTTGTGACGGAGGGAGCAGCGCTTCACTCCAGCAGGTCTTTGAGAGGGGAAATGGGAGTGTTTCCTCTCCTCTCCACGCAGTAACCTCCCAAAAAGTTAGATCTCTTGCACAAGCCATGGAGAATTCCCTTTTTATAGTTCCATTATGCCCAGGCATTGAAGATTTAACCCCACCTTCCCATTGCCCCATTACGACTGGTTATGGGGTGTTACTCCCTAATTATGATTTCTTGATGTGGCTTTGTTTGACCCCACATAACACCAAAGACGAAGGAAAAGCAATACATGCAAAGGGGCTGGAAAGCTGACAATAGCCAGGAGATGCACTTACCTTGCAGAAGCACTAGATCAGTGGTTCCCAAACTTCTCGGCATCTCGCTCCCCTTTCTGATTTTTGAGAAACCCTCACGCGCCCCTCCCAAAAAAAAAAGCAGCAAAACTTGGGGTGGGATTGACGGGGGTGTATGTGGCTGGTTGCCTCGCGCCCCCCCCCTCCCCTCCAGTTGGGAACCCATGTGCTAGATCCACGTTAGAGTCCTCCAAATGCAGTGGATCGATTTCTTTGTTCATGTAATGATTGGGGGAGGGGAGCCCTCTTCTCAGGATGCTCTGATCTGAAAATAGCCAAGTGGATTTTTCTCCCGTTGGGGAGGTTGGCTTGTCCCTCCCCAGCTGAGACCACTGATTTCACACTCAAGTAATTATTCTTGGCAGCCTTGGAAATGGATCTGCCCTTGGTCTCTCTCTTGCCTCCCCCCTTTGCTGGTAAATCCAAGTGTTCCACTCCGTGCCATCTGCGGGCATATGGGAACGAGCCACTCTCTTGTCTTGAGACGACTGAGTCAATGCAACGTCCTTTGTCTTTTCATTGCCGTGTTCGTCCAGTTGGTAGTTTTTGCAGAAGAATGACATTGCCAATCGCTGTAGCCGTTGGCAGTGGGCTAGGGACATCTAACGCCACCTTCTCTCTTAGGCCAAGGACTTGCCAACGTTCAAAGACAACGACTTCCTGAATGAAGGCCAGAAGCTCCACGTGGGAGAAGAGAGTAAAAAGAACTTCCTTGAAAAGCTAAAGCGGGACGTGGAGGTAGAACTGGGGCTCGGATTGTTGCCGCGAACAGGTTTCTGATGGCTGAGTTTTGTGACTCCCACCGTGCCCCCTCCCCCTTCCCAGCTTTGACAGGAGCCTGTCCCAGAGGCAGGCGAGGGCTGGCCTGCCAAGCCTTTTAATCCGGCCTGGAGCCCCGCCCGCAGCTCAGAGCTAGCTGTTCCCACGCAGAGAGCCATAGGCGGAGGCCCTGCAGATTGCCCCTACCCCCAGCAAAATCTCTCCGCTCCCATTAGCCAGAGTGCAAAGCCTCCCCACCCAGTGCCGAGGCCACATGGAATAGCCATCCGGGGGCTGCTGGCAGGCCGGGGAGCTTGCCTGGGAGTGCCGCTGGCTGGGAGCGGCTTAGGTAAGAGTCTCCCCGTCAGAGCCTGTCTCTGGCACCCCACCCCCTCCCATTCCCTCCCAGACTCTGCACCCCTTTTCCTGTGTCCCTCCCCCAGGCTTCCATACCCCCTCCTGGAACATGCACCCCAATCCCCTCCCCCAGATCACCACCCAAGCCCCCTGTACCTGCTCCTACATCCTCCCCCAGGCCAAAATCCTCTCCTGCACCCCTTCTCCCTCCGAGACCCTGCCCCCCAATTTCCAGCCTCCGATCACAACACCCCCTCACCCAAACTCCCTCTTAGACCGCCACGCCCTCTCCTGCACCCGTCCTCTACCCCAAGCTCCCCTCTGCACCCAACCTCCCTCCCAGCCCCTGCAGCCCCTCCACAGAACCGTGTGGCCTCTTTCCAAAATCTTGAGTGCCCCCCTCCCTTCAAAAATGGCCTGCCCCTGCTCTGTTGCAATTGCTGTGGAGGAGACTGGGAATGATGGGGAAGAACAGAGCAGCAAGACTCCTCCCAAGTGGAGTGCATCAAAAGCCAGCTTAGGGGGGTGTCTGGGATGCTATGGGGACGCTCACCTGACCCAGCCGAGCAAGGTTCAGCTGTTTCGTTACCAGTCTCAAGTGTCAGTCAGCCCCTTTGACTCTGTATCAAGTGCTGGCCACCTACTGGATGCGAATGTTTCAGCTTCCTCTCTGGAGTTGCCTCTTAGGCCCGACTGGCTGATTCCACTTGAGTTCTAGCCTCCTGTGAACACCTTTTCTGTCCTGACCCTCTCCCCATCCTGATGTGTCTGCCTTCCGAAACTGGCAGCCTCCCTGGGTCCCTCTTTGTGCTGCTAACAAAGCACCCGTGTCGCCTGTTGCCAACAGTCGGGCTGATTTCCTGCCGGATGGAGGCAAGTGCAGCGTCCAGCCCTGGGCGTCTGGGAGACGAGGCTGATTGGACTTGATCTCTCTGCCAGAGCTAGAAAACTGCTCCCTGTGTAGCAGCCCTTTGATCAAACTCCCTTTGATGGGCGCTGGCTTTCTCGGCTCCAAATGCAGAGGGGAGTTTTCTCCTCCCAGCGGTGGCCGTTGGCAGCGGGGGTGGGACCGTGTTTATAAAGACGCACTGCTCCAGCTGCAGTAGATTGATCTGGCTACTTCCAGTATTAAGAGTAAATGTTTTGCACTTGTATAACCCCCCTCCAAAGGTCAGGATTCCTGGGCAGTCTTCCCAGCATGCGTCCTAGGTGCAAGTCTCGCCTCCCCCAACGCCAGATACAGAACCAAAGTGTCCAACTCGGCTCTAGCCACCGCTCTGTGTTCACAGCAGCACTTGCTGAAGCAGGGGCAACGTGGGGAGGACACAAGGGGACACATACCCCCAGACACCCAGGGCATGAAGGGGCTGGCCAACAGGGTCAGTGTCCCTGGGCATCTTGGGGAGGCTAGTGGGGGATCCAGCCCCCTTCCCCTCTCCCACACACATACTAACCGGCAGTGGCAAGGGAAGCAAAGCAACGTGGCCCCAGTTTGCTCTGCATTCCTGGCTGCGTCACGCGGGGGAGGAGCAGGACTGGCCCCACGCTCACCAGCGGGAAACGGAGTGACACGCGGCCGGGGGAGCAAAGCGAGCTGAGGCTTCCCCTGCCACCGCTGGTGAGTGCGGAAAGGAGGCAGGCAGGCAGACTCCCTTCTCCTGCTAGTCCCCCAGCGGGAAACGGTGGGGTGGGGGCAGAGTGGGTGTGTCTAGACCGCTGGTGAGTGCGGAAAGGAGGCAGGCAGGCAGACTCCCTTCTCCTGCTAGTCCCCCAGCGGGAAACGGTGGGGTGGGGGCAGAGTGGGTGTGTCCCTCTAGCGCTCTGGGCATGGGCGTGCGGCGCCGCCCCCAGGTGCATGGCGCATGTGCGGGCCCACCCGTGGGGAGAGGGCCTGCCCCCCTAGGGTGTGCAGGCCTGCCCCCAGGGTGCATAGCGCAAGTGCAGCCCAGTCCGGCCTGGCTGTTGCCACTGGCGGGCGCGCCTGGCCGGGGAACGGCGCGGCGCCGG